TTACCATTGCTTTTAATTAAATATTTACGATTTTTCTTTTTACTGATACCTTACACTGCACTGTAACTTTCACTGTCCTGTTTTCTTTTTCTTTGTTTTTAGCTTTTTATTCTTTTCCATTTAACTCTTTTGTAACACTGTAACTTTTATTATATTTTATGTTGCTTTTAAACTTTTACATATTTCCCCGTTGCTTTTATGTTTTATGTAAAGCACTTTGGATTACCTTGTTGTTTAATTGTGCTATACAAGTAAACTTGCCTTGCCTTGCCTTATCAATGTTATTCAACATTTGGGGCTAATCCATGTCAAGGACAGTCACTTCATTACATAAACCTTTGCATGTTTGATTAGGTATAAATTTTAAAAAAAATGTGGAAAAGTAAATGTTGTTGACTGTATTTGCTTTTCCACACGTACCTTTGACCCCATAATCCTCCAAAACACACACAAACACACACACCATCAAAACACCACCCACTCGATGATGTGCTGGTTAAACACAGGAGCACTTTCGGTGCAAGACTCATCCCCCAAAATGCACCATAATAGCGCCAAAGGAAGTCATTCCTGCCTGTGGCCATCAGACTCTTTAACTCCTCCCTCAAAGTGTCTGACAGGACACTTATTAAACTATTAAACTGGGCATTGTAGTGCACACATATAAGTGCAATATTCTGTGCTGCAATTCTGCTTCCATTTATTCACTGTTCACCACAATTCCATTAATAATGTAATTATTGTACATATTAATACTCCTTTTTATATTTTTTCTTTATATGTTATATTTATACTTTATATTTATATATTTCTTTACCTACCAACTTCTATAATATTTGTATCTATTCGATGTGCAATGTGTGCAACTGTGACACAAGATTTCCCCTTGGGGATCAATAAATTATTTCTGATTCAAAACTCTCTCCCAGCCTTGTATTTGCTTTGTTCAAAAAAGATTTGTGTTCCAAAACAAGGTTTTGTAACTCAGGATAAGCTTCAACTAGCTGTTGCAACATCATCTGGTTACTGAGAGAACACAAGACTAAAGCAGGAAAGACCTAAACAGTTGTGTTCTGAGCAGTAAGAGTTTTAAACTATATATATTTTTTATGTCTTTAAATTTGAATCAGATAAATCTAATTAATAACCAAAGATGGTATTATGGTAATGTTTAAAGAATGTTTAAAATAATGTTTTTTTTTATGGGAAAATGTTGCAGTTAAAGCCTTGAAGTTACTGACACATAATAAAGCAAAGTTTATGTTCGAGTTTGTTTTGCAGAGAGGATCACATTCAGTGCAACAGATACAGTAGGTCACTGTCAGCAAATTAACAAGAAAGCCTGAGGATCTTTGGCAAATTTTCACTCTCTGTAAGCAATTCGTTTTTGTATTTGGGTAAAGACGTTATTCACACCACATGTTTGACAGGTTCCAATCTGTACATACCTCAAACAAGCCATGAGAAAGAAGCACCTGTTTAACCTCCATGCTGAGTCTCTCATTGGCCTAGGAGAGAGAGAAAATGAGTATAAATACGGTGGGGCAGCAGGTGAGTGTGGTTTTCCTGCTCATCCGTGGAAAGCATGAAGTTGTTAATTCTGGTGGCTCTGTTTGGACTGAGCCTTGCCCAGCACAACCCCCACACCAAGCAGGGCAGGACCTCCATCGTCCACCTGTTTGAGTGGCGCTGGGCGGACATCGCTGCAGAGTGTGAGCGCTTCTTGGGTCCCAATGGCTTTGGTGGAGTTCAGGTATGGCTTAACAAAGGCGGAAAAGATCTGGAGAAGGAGGACGCATCCTTCTATTTCTATTCTAAAATGATGCCAGTCAATAAATAATCAAGCTGCAAGCTGAAAATGGCAGGTTTTGCACACATGTGGTAACAAACGGCAGAAAAGATAAGTCCAATATGTCATGAGGGGGGGAGGGGATTCGCATACTCTTGCGTCATTTTCAAGAATCTTAAAATAGACCATACCGTTTCCTAACCTTGACGTTAGTTGAACGTCTTGTCTGCAGCGCTCCTGTTCAGTGCATGACATGCTAATGGAGATGCTGCAGGTCAACACACTGAACTTACTACTTTTAGAGTTTCGTTATTAGCATTTATTTTACTTTTAAGGAGCTATGTGATGTTACCTAGCTGATCTCATAACGCATTTCATTACCACTAGCTATATCATTTTATATTTTATGTAGCCTAATTGTTAGCCAACATTGGTGCTTAGGCATGAGCAGTGAAATTGAGGATTAGTTATTGTAGATACAAATTTAGAAAGGAAATATTTTGTGAGTCTTTCTACAATAGGCATGATATTTGTTCAGGAGTTTTAGCTGGTAAATGTTAAAATCCAGGTTTGTTATTTCAAATGTATTCCGTTTTATTTATATAGCGCCAAGTCATAACAAAAGGCTTCTCATTGCACAGACCTAAAAGACCCCAAAATTCCCAGTGTATGACAACTTCGTTATTGAAGGCACTTTACATTTCATTCAAAGTCGACATGAGCAAGAGCAAAGGAGATATTTGGTTTTTAAAGTTGAAACTTGAAATGATAAGAATTAAGAATTAGATATGATAATGCAGACTGTATTGTATGATAATGTCTTTGGTTCAGCATTGTGTGAGTCTGTTTTGAGCGGTCATGATGGCCTGCTGTTGTGTGTCTGACTTTCTGGCAGTTTTACTGTAGAATAGTGACCTCTGATTAATAAAGATATCATGTGGTATGGGGCTCACATGAACTGGAGTAATGAATTTGATTTATCATCTACAGACTGCATACATTAAATGATATTGTAAGCACATTTTAGTTTACTGAATCCTGCGCTTGCGGGTTTTCTTTTTAACGTGGTAAAAACTTCACATGGTAAACTATATAATTCGCACGCTGGAGTAATTGCCCAACAGCTTGAGATCACTTTATAAAATTATATCACATTGATCAGAGGAGTAAAATATCAACAGGTAACAGGTGATTTAAGCTTTCTGTGTCAGGATTGTTGTCGAGTGCACAGGCAAAAGCAGGCTGAGGACCCAAATCCAGGACACAAACAGGATCCGCTTCAGTTCCCAGGCTTCATTCTTTACAAAACTCACAATTCAAACAGTCGTGAGTGGCCAAACAGAAGCAACAACAGAGCACGTATTCCAAAGACACAGAACTGGCAAAAGGTACAAGGTTGTATAATGAAACAAAGTTCGTAGTGCCTTCAAGCTACACTATGTGTATATTAAAATATGGTAACATATAAAATAAAACTCGATAGATAGATAGATATCTATCTATCGTCTCTGTAAGGATTTGGGCACAACAGTTTGCAGTGTCCAGACCTTTAGGAGCAGCCTTAAATCAAAGCTGGGCTGACATGGCTCCTTTTCAGTCTCCTCCGAGTTCACCACACCCGTCGTGGAGCCTGGTCTGGATTGTTGGGCTGGGTGAATCATGGTCTGCTGCTCTTAATCCAAAAACCCTGGCTTCCTTTTCCAATGACTGATATCGGTCATAGTCAATATGTGTTTCGGCAATAAAGTCGGAACAAAACAGATTAAAAACCAAAAGTGTAGCAAAGGTAGAAGGCACTACCAGCAGAATTGACAGGCAGAATTGTGACACTTTAGTTGAAAAATGTGTTTCACTGTATGAAAAATGGTTAATTTCAAACAAAACACTTTAGTTTGCATTAGTGGAAAAGTGATACCCGTTTAGGCTGATTATAAAATACAAAAAAAGAAGACAAATCTTGCCTTATTATTAGAATATACAGCCTTTTGGAAGGGTGCAATACCATCTGTATGTGGCTTGAGTGCCACTTTAATAACTTTATACTTTATACTATATTCACTCTATTTAGCAACAATCCTCTATTTGCAGGTAGTTGTGTTAAAAGTGATCGTTACTGTAATGTCTTCCCTCTGTGTTGCTCAGATCTCTCCTCCAAACGAGCACATTGTGCTGAACAATCCCTGGAGGCCCTGGTGGCAGAGATACCAGCCAATCGGCTACAACCTGTGCTCCAGGTCTGGCAGTGAGGACGAGTTAAGAGACATGATCACCAGATGCAACAACGTTGGGGTAAACTACATCACAACAGTGATTTAGTGAAAGGCATTAGGAACAATGCTCTTCTGCATTTGACAGCACCTCATAAATCTACAGTCTTGTAAAAGACAACAAATTATTACCAGATACATTGCATAACACTTTCTGCATCATCATCAAACTGATGTATAATAACAGGCACCTTGCATTTTTAAGACAAAAGACATTTTTGAACAAAGCGCAACATTTTAATGAATTAATGCCGTTCACTCTTCAACATTTAGCTGATGCTTTTTTGGTCAGAAAGGTGTGCTTCAGCTTCAGCATATTCCTATGACCTGAGAATGAACTGAGAAAATGAGTGAAAGTGAAGAGGGATAGAAGGGAGGTGTTTAGTTTTACTGCACCTACAATCCTGTATCTACCCACAGGTCAACATCTATGTGGACGCTGTCGTCAACCACATGTGTGGCACCAGTGCTGGAGAGGGAACCCACTCTTCATGTGGAAGCTGGTTCAGTGCTACTAAGAGGGACTTCCCCAGTGTCCCGTTTTCCTCCTGGGACTTCAATGACAACAAATGTAGGACTGGCAGTGGCGAGATTGAGAACTATAGTGATGCCAATCAGGTAATGACTGTCAATCAGAAAAAATTGCTGTTATTGCTGTTATTGCCGTCTTACATTTCACAATACTTTTTCCAATTTTACTGCTCCAGGTGCGTGACTGTCGTCTGGTTGGTCTGTTGGACCTCGCCCTGGAGAAAGATTACGTCAGGGGCAAGGTGGCCGACTTCTTGAACAAGCTCATTGACATGGGTGTGGCTGGATTCAGAGTGGATGCCGTCAAGCACATGTGGCCCGGTGACCTGGAAGCTATCTACGGTCGTCTGCACAACCTAAACACCAAGTGGTTCCCTAATGGCTCCAGACCCTTCATCTTCCAGGAGGTATGTTTTTTCCACACCCATATGGCCAAATAATGTCAACAAAAAAAAATAACAACTAGCATACAACCATTAATTTCCATTAAATATATACATAGCATTGAGAACATGGATCTGCATGCATCATCATGTTAAATGCATGGCATCAGCTCACCTGTTTTTGATAGTTGTATGCTTTACTGGTATCTTGCAGAACCAAAAGGATGAATGAACTTATGTGGACTTGATCTGCAAGAAACATGCAGTGAGCAAACATAAACTGCTGCCAGCAAAACTAATTTGCATTTAAGTACATGATTGGGCATCTCCCATCTAATCTACATGTAAGCATGTGATTGGATGAGTACTAACCTCCCACATGACCAATATTTTGACTGATAGTGCAAAACGGCAGTCAACAGACCCGTGGGAAAATGAGCACAGAAATCAAGATGACAAACACATGTACTCTGGGAGCAGATGTTTATCCTGCTGTGTGGAACTTTTGTCTCCCCTTCAGGCAGTGAGAGCAGTTAACGTTGTCGACGTGTGCTTATGACGTTCAGAAATACAGAAACTTTTCCACAGTTCCAAGACAATAATCCAGTATTTTGGTAGAGTATGTAGTAGCTACATAGCTTACTCCAAATATTTTACAAATGCCAACCTGTCCAGGTGGAGAAATGTGACAGTCATGTCTGCCCTTATGCTGTGTTCCATTTACCTCAGAATTCGGAGGTCGGAGCTGGGAATGACGTTCCAGTTAACAGGTCGGAAAATCTCACTCGACCAGCTGTTGTTTCCAACTAGCCAGGTTAGCCATTGTTATACCGGTTGATAAAAAAAATGCATTGTGCTGTATTTATGCATACTAAACAATGTAGCAACACCACCAGACAGCCGTTGGACAGTACTTTGTGTACGAAAATTTCTATGACGCACAAATACACAGAAGTGCTAATAAACAGTATAAACTACAGCTTTCCCTAACTGCTGATACCCCGACAGCCATCTTGGACCACAAAGTTGGGGTAGTGCAGTTTCCCGCGATGGCAGTTTGTGGAGCTCTCGCCCTGACTGAGTTGCTCCCCCCTTCAGCTCTGGTAAACCAATCACCACTGGTTGATTGTCACCACTGTCATCATAGACACCAGGGGCGAGTTCAGCCCTCACAAAAGGTAGCAAGTAGTTTTTTTTTTTGTTTTTTTGTTTTTTTTATTTCAACAGAAACATTGGTGCCTCAACTACCCTGTAGTGTAGTAAGTGCACTGCATTTTCCTGCCCCTTTTATCACCGTTGTTTACAAACTTGTCACAGCTGATTGGGTTACACCTGTGACACACACAACCAAACGGTAGAAAACATACCTCGAAGCCCGTTGTGGAACGTTGCAAGGAAACGTGGTGTTCAATCCGAAAACATTGCAAACTAGTGCAAAACGTTTTGAGATTTACCTCGCCCCAGATTTAAGACCTCTGGTATACTGCAAATAGACTTACCTGGCAGTGATAGGCTTAATCAGCTGTGTGTGTGTACTAGCTTGAATGTAAAACACATTTATTTATCTGTAAAGGTCCCGTACTCCAACTTTAATATTACAACACATTAAAGCAGTTGACAAGTGCCTGCTGAAATACAGGTAAAAGGATGAAGCCAGATGCGCTAAACTCAAAAAACTAAGGTTGTAAGCTGAAAGAACATTCTGTGATCTCAAAAATAAGTGTGCTCTGTCTTCACTAAAAACATGAATGTTTAACAGCAGAAACAGCTGAATCTAAAAAGCTTACTTGTTAAAATACTTTTTGTCAACCCACAAATTATAGACATGGTGCAGTTAATCTAAACCATGTGGTTAAGGACTAATTAATTATGTTGATTTCCTTCTAGGTTATTGATCTGGGAGGTGAGGCTATCACAGTTAGAGAGTACTTCCATCTGGGAAGGGTCACTGAGTTCAAATATGGTGCCAAACTGGGAACTGTCTTCAAAAAATGGAACGGCGAGAAGCTGTCTTACACAAGGTATGTGTGTTTCTGTTGGTGTGCCTAAATCACATATCAAATTGACAAAGTAGAATATTTATTTAACCATGAGCTACAATCCCATTTGCTGCATAAATTAGCGAATTGGTCACTTGCTAATTATGTTTCTTGAGACGAAATGTTTCACAAAATTATTCATAGTTTATCACTGACTGGTGCATTTTCGAGTTTCTGAATTAAATTACTTTAGGTAATAATTTGTCCAAAGTTTTGTGTTTTGGAAGTGTACGCTTCATTATTAAAACTGTATTCTCATGTGCAGGAACTGGGGAGAGGGATGGGGTTTCATGCCCAACGGCAATGCTCTCGTCTTCATTGACAACCATGACAACCAGAGAGGCCACGGTGCTGGTGGTGCATCCATTGTTACCTTCTGGGAGCCCAGGCTCTACAAGATGGCTGTTGCCTACATGCTGGCTCACCCTTATGGAGTAACCCGGGTGATGTCTAGCTTCCGCTGGAACCGCCACATTGTCAATGGAAAGGTAAATTCCCTTAAGGAGGAACAATGATTTAATGCCATGTACAGTGTGTATTTGTAAAAAAAATAGTTGAAGACATTCATCTATCATTATCTTGTAGGATGAGAATGACTGGATAGGCCCCCCCAGCCACAGTAATGGATCTACAAAGTCTGTTCCCATCAACCCAGACCAGACTTGTGGAGACGGATGGGTGTGTGAGCACAGATGGCGTCAGATCAAGTGAGTTCTCAGGAAGCAAGAGACGGGGAACTGGTGACATTTCACACAGAACATTATTCACTTCTACTTGAACATATGGATGTGAACACTATGTACATGTACATTTTCATTGTGATATCTCCCCTAAGGAACATGGTTATTTTCCGTAACGTAGTCAACGGACAGCCTCACTCCAACTGGTGGGACAATGAAAGCAACCAGGTCGCCTTTGGACGTGGCAATCGTGGTTTCATCATCTTCAACAATGATGACTGGTAAGAACTATCTTACTGGTACTGACAAAATACTACTTTCACCCTTAAATCAAGTAAACACCAGATGTAATAACTGGATAGGATGCATGTCTGAATCTTTCAGTAAGATAGATTTTATTTTATATCTTACACTAACTTCCTTATAATACACTGTTGGCTTTAAAATCATTTCAATATTAAACATGGGCCTTTTACCCATTTATCAAACTTTGTTTATATTAAAAAAACATCTCATTACTTTTACTTAATAAAAACTGCAAACAAATTGTACAACTAGTATTGTAGGTGTACACAAAACTTCTAACAAATGTAACATTTTTACTATTTCTCAGTTTCTGTACATACGGTAACTGCTTGGCTGTACAGTGTGAATTGTTTTTTGTTTTTTTTTAAACAATACCTTGTCTTCACATGCAGGGATCTGAATGTGACCCTGAACACTGGCATGCCTGGCGGAATCTACTGTGATGTAATTTCTGGCCAGAAGGAAGGAAACAGGTGCACTGGAAAACAGATCAATGTTGGTGGTGATGGCCGCACCCATTTCAACATCAGCAACAGAGATGAGGACCCCTTCATTGCTATTCATGCTGATTCCAAGCTGTAAACGCATCCTGTGCAACTTAAAATAAAGCTTATTGTTCAGTAGAATGATGAACTTGAATTTAGTTTGCTTTTATCTTGCACAAAACACTATATAGTTTTGGAAACTTACATTTGTATCGAGGGTCTGCTTCTGCCATTTATGCATAAACACGAAAAACAGAAAAAAAATAAAAATCCCAAAAAGGTGATAAAATTGTGATGGCTTGTTGCACAATCAGCATTTCCATTCATAGCAGCCATCATGTGTGAGAGGGATTGTATCGTATACAAGATGGCGTCTATCCTTACAAACTTAAATGGCAACATACATGAATTACCCATAGGCACAAATGTCTGTCCATCTGTATGTATAATGTGGTCAGATCAGGCACGCAGAACTATATGATACCGTTTGAACACCATCTGTTCAAAAAGCAGTGTTTAGTAAATGTCAGTATCATTTAACTGTCCTGCTGCAATCTGGTACCTAATAGACTGTCAGAAACTTTTACACCAAAGGCCAGTGTAAAATGAGTTGGGCTACAGCATAAACTCTAATAATGTCCAGAACAATAATATACTTCTAAAATAATATCAAAAACTTAAAGGATGTGAAGGCACTTTATGTCTGAAGCATTTTTTGTTTGAATTTCAATTTGTTGAAATTGAGCAAATGTCCTGACACAGAATGGGGGGGGATCGTTTATCTCTGGTTCTCACAGAACTGTAAGAAGTAAGAAGCACAGCCCAAATAATACATTTTATGTGGGGATGCCTTGCAAAACCCTCAAGGACATCTTACAATTCATGGTCCTACAAAATTACTTAAATTAATAAAATGATTGGCTGGCTTACCTGCTTGTCTGTGTTTTGGGGGAGGGGCTTGGATTTTTTCAGTTTTATACTTTCAAAATCTGGCTGCCTCTTGCTAATTTCTCCATCGTTATTAACCATAGCTTTAAGCTGCAATTAGACTTAAATTGAAATTAAAAAATGAACTGACGGTTTGCTAAGCCCTGTCCCCTTAGGTAGTCTACTATTTATAGGCTACGCCTGTTAGCTTTCTCTTCTCACATGGCACCTATGCAGTTTACAGTGACAACTGTGGCAGATTAAACCACATTTCCAACAATGTCTTTAATTTCACACAGAGGCAAACAAAAGCGGCTTCTCATTTCTAGCTGTGGGTTTTGTTGACTGAAATGATGATCAGAGCTCACTAACCAGCCAGAGATCCTAATGTTTGCAGCTTCCATTAGAACAGATACTGCTTAACTCATTCCTTACACTTTTACTCCTTTTGTTTTGGTTTTGTAAAGTCTAAGGACTCTTAAACAGTATATAAAGAGTATCATTCTCAGAAGAGCCACATTCACACCGCTTCAACATTTTGTGATTGGACAACTGCTGTTTTGGGAATTGATGTATGAATGACAATGAAATGGTTTAGTTATTTTAAAGATGTTTAATCGGACTACATGGTCAATGAGTGTCCTGTACAAGACCTGAGATGCCTGCAAATGTCCTTCCTGCATTGTGTGTTCTTCTCCTCCACTGGGACCACTCCTTGCCATCACACCATTGGCACTGCAGTTTCACCTGAGTGCAACACTGGCATCTGTCATTAGGGCAGCGTCGGGGCCCAGAGGGCCAATGAGCTAACTCTCCATCCTTACTTCCTTCCTCTCTCTGCCCGTGTTCCTGTCCCGTCACCCTCGCATTTTGCCTGTCTCAACCTTCCCAGCCCACCTACTGAGTCCCCGTCAGCAGCTCTGGACCGGTGACACTGGAGTGCCAGCCACCAGAGGTGAGACAGTAAAGGTGATGCCTGCCAGAACATTCAGCTCATCTCGGTTGTCATGGCAACGTGACCCATGAGCAGTGAAAACTCAGATTCTTTAATGCCTCATAGAAAGGAAATTCTTTATTGCTTCAAGAATAAGGCATAGCAATGAATTCAAAAGGGAGTGTTGCTGACTCAGTATGATGGTGTAAACACGGACAGGTCATATGGTTTGTTATGTGTCCTTACAATATACAGATAGAAATGTTAAAACACTTCAGGATGTCAATCAAGTCATGCAGATCACAACAGAAATCATTCTCCTCTCATCGGAAACTATTTTCAGCATCGCAGTCCTCTTAAGTTGTGGATTGCTGTTTAATTTAAAGCTCTACTGTACATGGCAGGTGATGAATCTTTGTTCACAAAATGTGTGAGCGAGAAAGTCAGGGTGACAGAGAGAGCAGGAGAAGGATGGAAGGAGACCTTAACGTTGGACTAGCCTCAACATATTGCAACTGCTAAATTATTGACCCCCTCTCCATCTTATGGTCCGGCAGCTGTGAGGGCCTGTACCTTCCGATTAGCTGCAGAGATGTCAGCACAGCAGACCGGGGTCTTTGGTCCTGTCATCCTCACTGATGCTTTGTGACATGACTGTCAACGGTGTCCCCATCCTGTTTCATATTTCATATGGTGCACCAGACCTGCCTGTCACATACCCAAGGAGAAAGACAGTCATCAACTTAGAGACGAAGCAACTGAGTTTTTGGATCTATTCAGCTGTCTCACACTGCTCTAAGAAAGTCAAAAAGAGTGTAGCTCAGGTTCGTGCTGTGCTCTGATAAAGACAAGGAACTGGAGCTTTTCAACGTTGTCAATTTAAATATAATTACAGTATGACAAATTCTAAATTGTTACCTTGCTGTTTGAACATAGTTTGAACAAAGAAAAAAGTTGGCTTAATATGGCTTTATCACAGTATATTGGTGCTGATTTTTTGTTGATAACTATTGTAGTAAACATGATTCCTTTGAGCAGTGTGGTACCTGGGTAATATTCAGCTTCATATCACATGGGGGCAGTATTGAAGCAAGAACTATGAAACATAAGCTTTTCCAAAACAGGATTAAAAAGGTCCATGAGATATTGTGCTCTCTGTAAAATTTATTTCATAATTGCTTGATTCATAAGAATTCAATGCAGAATTATTGACGATGCGAAAATAATTTATCATTGATGTTTAATTCTATGAATTAAGCATGAATTATATATATTGTCAATGGCAGTATAAAAGAGGTGAATGATGTATGACCGTATTGCTCATACAAACTTAATACATGCAAAACTGCATAATGTAGGACTGGTAGTGTTTGCCCCCAGCTGATACAAACCCTGCCTTCAGTGTGAGCAGTCCAATGTTTATTTGTATATTAACATCAAATGTTTCAACTAGAACTAGAAGAACTCATGCCAGAGAGGTATTGATCCCAAGCTCTTGATAGAATCTTTA